CCCCAAAACCCCAAAACCCCAAAACCCCAAAACCCCAGACCTTAGACCAAAATAATAAAATAAACCCAAATCATGAGTAGAATGAGCTGGAAGGAAGCTTTGAGCCCAATGTGGCTGCCAGGGTGGGTCCCTGGCAGGTTTTGACTTTGAGGTGGAATGACAGAACGAATTTAAGCAATTGAGTTGCTGCCGACCAGCTAGAATTGTACTAGCCCATATCAGACTTACTTACTTTCAAGTAAACACTAAGCTAAAATTTTTTGATTTCTGGGAACTAGATTTTCCGGTAAAAAATATAACAAAAACTTATAGTTGACTGCTCTAAGTTTACTGAATTCCGTTATCATGAAGGACCTTTTTAATATGTTCCTCTTCTACCTTATGCTTGAAGAATAGTGTATCCTGAACTTTGTACTGGATGAAAGCCATCTCTAATTCTCTGGCTTCCTCATCAATTCCTGTCTTACAATTGAGCTGGATAAGTTCTGTTTGTAGCATATCTTTAATATCATCATAGATTTGGAGAGCAATGTCGAGGGTTAGCCACTTTGGAACTTCAATTCTTTGGTATTCCTTGATGCCAAGCTCAAAAGCAAGATTTCTATCTCCGAAATATTTCTCTTGTGAATTCTCGATGTCATCAATTGTGATGCTGAGAGCTCTGCAGATATACTCAAGGTTAACCTCTCTCCTTCTTTCTATTTCATTATGATAGTAGCTGATGATGCTATTTGTATTCCGATGTATTATCAAAATTCTGTCTTCTCTTTTCCCTGAAGACTCTATCTAGCTTCCGAATACCACGAATCGTACTTCTTTTATCAAAGATTTTTATCAAAGTAGTTTTATCTAGGATTCCGCTTTGATCCCTACAAGGTTTGATAGCTTGCTTGAGGATAACAGGCTCGTCTTCGGAATCTGATTCGTGTACTGTCTTTTTGGGAGGAAGTTTTCTGTCTTCCTTAGTTTCTTCATCTCCTTTCAATGTATCTCCTTCTGTCTGTATAATATCTTCAGGGTTGTCTGTGCTTCCTTTACTTCTTTGGGCTCGATTCTTGGTTTTCCATAAATATTTATAAGCAACATAGCCAACAGTTACAACTCCTACACCAATGAGAGCAGCTTGGGCTGGGTTTTCTTGTCAGAATTCAGATACTCTGGTCTTCAGTTCATCAAGTTTTTCCAACGACATTGTGTGATTATAATAATTTCAAAATTATTATATTATTAAGGGGTTTTGGGGTTTTGGGGTTTTGGGGTTTTGGGGTTTTGGGG